TAATCTCATGTATATCATGTCTATATTTTTTTATTAATAAATAAATAAAAGAATGGCATAAAGCTGACAAGATTGTATGGAGAAAAAAAAAAAAGTAGTCGGAACACTTTGAACAAATGAAAGAAGGGGACACTATAAACAATCTGATAAGAGGACGATTCGTTTTGATGTTATATGATTTATGTAATCTCACCTTGCCGGCTTGCCCAACAAACTGTAAGTGTGTTAATCTCCTTAGCAATCATAATAGTGGACATCATGACTCCTTTGGAAAATCAAGGACACCTCTTATTTTATATCCATTATCCATGAAGAACTTTGACAAAGAATCTATTCCATAACCTTCGATCTATCTATACAAAAAAAAAAAAAGATTAGTTTTATAAGAGTTGTATTGGTGATGAGTATAGTAGTATATCATTTGTTCATATTTCTATTTTTTTTTTAAAATCATTTATAATATTCACCAAGTTTTCAAGTTTTTGAAATGCAATTTTGTTATATACAACTAGCATGTTAAAATTACAAAACTGAAGTCACATTAACAACTCCTAAATCATTATTTTAGGTGACTAGATATAAGATAATTAACCTCCAACGTATTATTTTTCCTTTTGGCTAAATTACCCTTCTGTTCGGTTAAACCTAGTGAACGAAATAATTATTTATTTATTTTTAGCAAAAAAATAAAATAATAACTATTTATAAATCAATTTTATGAAAATAGCGTAGACCATAAAAGAACGCAAACGTAACAAAAAGAAACAATTAAGGTACGAAACTCCAATTATGTAAGTTATGACAGTGGATTCCTGAAACTCGATAAAGAATACCTTAAGTGTCATGAAAGTGAAGTGGTCGTAGCAAATCTTCTCGTTGTCCACCGACTGAACAAGTTCCTATATCCTTTTTGTTGTCGGGTTCTTCTCCAAGTACGTCTTCAATATATAATTGTTTGAGAGACTCCAATCAAAGATGCTCTAAGTACTATGTTCAATGTGTGTGCCTTCTTCTCCAGGAAAACGTGAGCCCCACATGTGGAGTGATGATTACTTATAAAACAAATGATCTCCTCCTCATGACTTGTGACATTTAAGCAAAGGGCGATGGTATGAATTACAGTTTGTTTCCGATTTTACTCTTTAATTTAGATAAGATTTAACTCAACTTATTTTGTTAATTGAACCATTAAAAATATATCTACAGTAAGGTATATCTATATGGCGAAGTGGATGAAATGTCATAACAATATATCTATATTTTAATATAAAAATAAAAATTAGTGTAAGTAACACATCATTTATGTCGAAGTTGATGAAATGTCAAAACAAATAATATGAAAAAAAATATGAGGGTTGGTGAAATTAAGTGTGTGTAAAAAAACAAACTTTTTGGGTATGGATAGGTGGAGGGTTACGGAATAGATTCCTTATCGAGTTTCTTCATGGATTATGGATATAAAATTGGAGATGGGCTTGATTTTCCAACGAAGAAACTACGAGTTCTCACGTTTTCACCTCCGGATATTCACGTCCCCGACGACGGTCACGGTCTTGACAACGGGCCTCTGCCACAACTTGTCATAGCTGAGCTTCTTGTGGATGAACTAAGTCCTGAATCACAAGTATGAATGATAATCATAAACATAATGTTGTTGTCATGAGTCTTGAAACATCTAATTATAGCTTTCTTGTTCCTAACTTCTAGTTAATGGTTAATTAGGAGATAATACGGAGATATCTAAAACCACAAGGTGGTAAGCAAGCGGTTCTTTCAAGTACTTTGGGGTCTCTAATTTGGGAGAAGCCAACATCCATCGACTTTAATCATCAAAGAGTATCTAGAAGAAAAGGGATTCAAACTCAACAGAGACGGAGGAATTCTCAAAGGTTTCCTTTACTTGTTTCCCTCATGAGATTCTTGGTTATTGCAATGTTTATGTTCTTTATCTGCTATATAAATAGGAATAAATGTGAATCAATATGTATTTCAGTGAGTCAAGATGGTCTACTTCTACAAGTGTCATCGATCTCGGAGAGGGTTGCGGTTGAATTTTCAGATGGAGTAACCGAAACAATCCCGGCTTCATATATAGAGTTCACTCAACGTCTGGTTCTCCCAAAGTTTCAAGATCTGCCTCATGACCAGGTTCTACATTTGGATACAGTACTGGCTTCTTTTCATCATGTATGCCTTCGTTGGTCCATTGTATTCACAATATATGTGTATACCCGTAATTGCAGATTAAAGAGTAACATAGACGTGACGACTTTGATTTCGACAACGCAAAAAACATTTTGGAAAGCGCCCGTTTCACCTCAGATGTCTAGAATCAGTTTGGTCCAATCCTTTCTGAAATGAATACCATTAGATTAAGCATTGGTTTGTAATGCAAGTAGTATGGTTCAATGTGTGCTGTGATACCTGTGTGTGTGTGTTTTTCTTCTTTCCCAAGAAACGTGTCTCAAATGCATTTACTCGTGTTTGAACATCCCCATTTCCTCCTCTTTCTGTTCAATGTTACGCAGTCTAATTTCCTTGCATCCTCCTACGAAACATATTTCAAAATAGAAAATCAATAATCATCAATACGTTAATCAAGGTTTGCTGTCGAGAGAATTTGCCAGTTCAGAATCTGAGAAGGAGCAAAACCCTAAAAATATCTTCGATTTTATTGTTGTGCAAGATTTCGCTTGTTTCGTCCATCTTCAAGATTCTGAGCGTGCGCTCAAAATTAGGGTTACGTAATTATACGTGACAACGATTAAATGCCGACTAATTACGGCGTCAAGTTTTAGGATTGGCCCAAAATAAGCCCAAGATATAACCGTGGACAACGTGAATAATTTTGTTGGGGAGATTTTGGGCCCTTTTGGGTTAATATGAATCCGATGAGTGTATAATAAAGTTCTTTTTAAAATTATTTCATTTTTGAAGCAAAAAATATATTTTGATTAATATGAATCTGAATTCATCAAATATATATTTATCGGCTATTTTTTTTTTTTGGTTTTAGCAAAAATAGACATAAGTATAAACCAATTAAGTATCCAGTAATATTGCATAATAGCAAATGATACAATTGTTGAACAAAAAAACAAAAATAAAAATCAAATGATACAATTATTTTGGTGTATTTTCTAATACCAAGATAGAGATGGTAACTTGGCTGAAAAATACAAAGGTGAAAAAACTTTAGTCACGTAAATATTATTTACAAGGATAACAAATAAAAAACAAAGAAAGAAAGAACACGTTGATGATTCCCATTGATCATATACAAATTAGTATTCGTCACTTCTTTTCCATTTACCCACAAGCGTTATAGGTTTAGCTCTATTTTTTTCCAAGTAAACCCCATCATTGTTAGCAATCCATAAACGGTGGCCATTATTACACGGAGGAGGATGAGATGATGTATGTGCCGTCAAAAAGTAAATATAAGGATAAATATCCAAATTCTCTTTAGGTTTTTGAAACCTACACTCCATGAGTTTTGGCATGTTTTTCAACATGTGTTTCTCATTGAACTTTATCTCTTGGACCATAGCGCGGCCTAGTTTATCATCGCAGACAAGCAAGAGCATCTTGCCAGGACCCAAATTGTTTTGAACTTCTAACTTTCCATAGTTGCAATCTTTTGCTTCATTCAACTTAGCATGCATAGCAATAAGCAACACAAAAATTATGAGACTATTCATTTCTTTTTTCTTTTTTTGAAACAAAAAGTATCTGTGGATTAAAGTAGATCATCTAAAGACATCAAATGTAATATTTATATTAAAAAAATATTTGGGTCGAAAAATTTTTCTTCTATTTATTTAATGGTTTTAGCTAAATTTAAATACAAACTAATTGCTTCCTCTAATTAAAAAAGAATTCGATGACGAAAAATATGGATAGCCAATAAAATCAAACTATATATAAATTAACCTTACAAACTGTAGCTGATAAAAAATCAAACCAAAAAATAAAAAGTAGAAGATGTAACAAAAAAAAAATTGCAATATACAATTATTTTAACAATACAAAAATATTGTATTAATAATAAATACAATATTATTATACGATTTGTTACTTTTTAATTTCACAACGAAACTTGTAAATTAATTAATCCCGTGCAAATATCATCTATCCAATTTTGAGTATACGATTTGTTACTTTTTGCTAACTCGTCCTCTTAAATTCTTTTTTTTTTTTGTTAAAGAATATTAATAAATAAATAAAGCTTAACTAAAAGTAAATCATGAGATAAACATAATATATATAAAATTCAAATAATGTTAAAAAAAAAAGAAAAAGAAAAATCATATTTCAGAAAAATAAAAAGTGAATCAAGATTGGGGTAGTTGGGTTGTTGTAATCTGGTCGAACGATCACCATGTTTGAGAAGGACATAACGGTTCAACATCAGTCGACATAGCTGCACCGTAGTCATATTGATATGCTGAAGTTGAAGCAATATCGATGTTGAACGTTTCTCTGCGTGAGATAACTTCTACAGCTTGGTCATCCTCTTCATCGTTTTCAACTATACAGCCCAGGTGCAGTGAAACTCCATGAGGCGACGAACGGATACATTCCAGCTCCACTAAAATATCCCTCATGCTGGGTCGTCTCTCTCCCGTAAGGTTCAGACACAGCCTCGCAATCTTGGCCATGACCTTGACTTGCTCCAACATGCAACCATCTCTGATGCGAGGATCAATAATGTCGAAAAGCCTGTCGTCTCTCATTGCAACGAGAAAGTAAGTTGCTAGAGTCCGGGTGTTTTTTGAGGCCGTTGGGAAGAGACCGGCTTCTCTCCGGTGATGAGTTCGGCGAGGACGACACCGTAACTGTACACGTCGCTCTTTTCCGTGTATTGTTCGGATTGGTAGTACTCAGGATCGACATATCCGGCGGTACCTTTCACCACGGTAGTGAGATGAGTATCATCCACAGCCATCACCCTTGAAATACCGAAATCAGACAATTTTGCTCGGTGCTTAGCGTCAAGCATGATGTTGGTAGAATTAAAAACAAAAACTCAGCTCATTTGACCAGGCTCTTGATTGTGCTTACTTCAGCTGTTAGGGTTGAGAAAGGTCTCAAGGTTTATGGTGAGTTACTTCTTATGTAAACATACATTTGCATGATCGTGTCGCCGATACTAATTTACTTGTCATCAATGTATGTAACAGACTACACATGTTTGGTTGGACTCGTGAGCCAGATTGTGCTAACTTTGGTGGATTCCTCTGATGTTCTCGATAAAGTTCTGGCACTGATGTTATGCACCATTGACGGACTCAGTGACTTCAATGAAGTGGAATCCATTGCTTCGCAATGGGCCCACATTTTTTCGTTGAAGAGTTTAAGGTATCTTGTAATACTCTTCAATGTTAATTCTTCCCCTTATGATTCATCATGCAATCTTTTGCAGTTTGCTGAGTTTTTTGCGGGAGTTTCTAGAGAAGGATAAATTAATAGTGGAAGCCTTTGCAAGTAATATATTAAGGCAAGACTCTTTTTTTTTCATTAACCTCTTTAAAATCTGTCTTATCTTTTATATATGTCATTAGTGACTGGCTTGGCTTCTATGCATGCAGTTGGATCAACAATATGATTTTTGAGTCTACGGAGGAGGTGATTCCTCTATTACTATCGTATTGTAAGAAGCAGCAAACAAGTCACGACAAGGTGAAAATTATAGATGGATCAGTCGAGAGGATTCATGAGTTCTTGGAAGAGAAAATCAAGAAAACTCAAACGTATATAGAGAATACAGGGTTAGCTCAAATCGATGAGGCTGAGTTTGCTGCTGTTTGTGGAGCTGTGAATTGTTTTCCCTATTTTAAAGTGGATTCATCATTGCTGATTTGCTTTAAGAATACTCTTAAACAGCACTTGGTCGACTCAGCTGGTAAGCTTTTACCATGCCACATCAACTTTATACTGCTGTTCTTGATCATGGTCTTAATTTTTAGAAATTATCATAACTCTTTTTATTAAATCTTTTTCAGTAAACACTTGTAGTGCTCAAGAGTTGATGTGGCAGAGCATGCTTGGTGCTGTTTTGGGGTCATGTCATAAACTCTCTTCTCCTGGAAGAATCAACCGCAGTGATGTAGAGGAAGCTTTGTTTCTTGCTAAACAGTACAAGACATGTGTACAAGTGCTCTCTTCCGTGGCTGACTATTTGGATCGTGTGGTCATGTGAGTTATTCAATTAATTCTCCATTTTGTATTTGATGACTCTGTGATGGTAAACACTGATCCACTGTAATCCGCAGGCCTGTATTAGCAAATGATGGTAGTAGCCCTAATGCATATCCAGAACTTGAAGCAGATAAAGCCGAAGATGCCTTCACCATCTTTTCTGAAAACTTGCGTCACTCAAACAAAGACATCCGTCTTCTGACTCTAAGGATCCTTTGCCATTTCGAGACTCTGTCTTGTAATCCATCTTCTGAAGAACATCCTCCTCCTAAGAAGAAACTGAAGACTAGCGTGGTTCACAAGTCTCTTCCTAAAGCGAATGTGAGTAGCAACTATATGACTGTTAACCTCTGCGCTCTATCATCGTCACAACTAATACAATTCTTTTCAAATTACCACAGGTGCTTCAGTTACTGAAAACAGTCGAAGAGTCTCTTCTCACAGTATCGACCGAAATGGAGTTGAGCAGATCGATTACTAGCATACAAACGGATCTCTCTGATGGCAGGATGCACGAGGCGTATGTGCCTCTTGTATTCAATGGAATTATAGGAATATTTCACAATCGATTTTCCAGAATATGGGAGCCAGCATCTGATTGCCTTGCGGTTCTTATCAAGAATCACACAGGAGCCGTGTGGAATGGTTTTGTTCGTTATATAGGTTTCATATGTTAGTTTTTAATTGATGGTTTTTAATTGATTTCATATGTTAGTTAGAGGTTAGCAGAAATGAGCAGCCACGCCTCTCTCCTATGCTGAATATGCCAAAAATCTATATAGGTAATCAAAAAATTATGTTGTCTACAAAACAGCCGTCCAGGTTATAACCTTAACTTACAACATAAACCAGCTTTTACATCTGAAAACCTATATCTAAAAACAGTTTGTTCATATAATCAACTTGCTATATTTTTACCTTTCCTGCAACAGCCTAAAGATCACAGTTACTCTCTTATCATCATGTCCAAGATTTGTTTGTAGTCAAAGGATCAAATTTCCTCTTTTGTTGCTCGCATTTATGTTCCCTTCAAGTTGCTGCTTTTGATTTCTTGATTATCCCATGTGCCATACTAAGCATCTCAGAATTTGGAATCTCCTTTTGTGTAGAGGCGGAGTAAAATTCAGAATCAGCGTTCTTAAACAAGGTGATTGCATGCAATTGTACGTCTGTGCTTTTCATCTCATGATTCTCCAACTATTTTAGAGTCTTCATTCTGTATATATGTAGTAAAGGAAAATAGTCTTGCTTATGCCAATATTCTGTGTTTGTCAATAGCTATACGTGTAACTGGAGTGTGCTTACTTAGAGCTGCAGTCTTTGCATATGTATGTACATTGATTCTTAATTTCCTATTATGAGTAGCTATCATTCTAAGAAACCACTAGATGAATGAGATTTTTCTTGCCAAGAAATCAAAATGCACAGTGAGTCCTTGGTGACTACGACTATTTGCAAGGTATTTTCATTTTTTTTTAATTACTTCTAAGCTCTAAATGTTGAAGTCCAGAGCAGTCATAGAGTTACCTTGCAAACAAGTATTTTAACTGATAATTATAGACATGAGTCTTGCTGCATCATTGGAAACTATTACAGTTTAAATGGCAGCAAAAAAAATGCAGTCATGTTCTTATGGAGAGCTTTCGAACTGAACCAGAAGTACTTATCTGTGTGGACTCTGGTGTACCATGGATATGTCGAGATGAAAAACATTTGTGCTGCCATAGATGCACATCAACGAGCTGTTGACATGAACCCTCTGTTATTATCGAGTATGGTATGGAACCGTTTTCAAGATTATGGTATGGTGACTCTATTTTGCGTTGCTCTTTGCTTAAGTGTGTCGATATAAGTTGTTATTGTATGATGTTTAGATTGTCTCTATTCAATAGTTTGAATTAATAATATTTTTGATGTAATTTATCGGTATTTTCTAAATATAGTCCAATTAAATCACTTTATCAAATCCTAATTAATAAAAGAAATAATTACCAAAGTGAATTACGAAATGTCAATGTTTATAAAACTAACAAAACAGAAACATATACAAAATAGTTTATCGGAATGAAAAAAAACGTATTCTAAACCATTTATCTAAAATTTTCGATATCAAATTGAAACTTTATACCAATAAATAATTCTAAATTGGTAAATCCAAATTAAAAAAAAAAACAAATGACCTTTTATGGATTCATTATTATTCTAAACCTGATTAAACTAGATTTTGGAAAATTGGAGAATAAAACAAAATTAAAAGAACAGATTAATTTATATATAAGTAAACTGATCTTATCAAAAAAATATTTATTAAAATTATCTAAGTGCATAACACTGAAAAGTCACTTAGAAATATTATTGAAACAATATGAATAACAAACTTAAGACCTAGAATTGTAAAATAAAATTATGTGAAAATACAAGTTAAAAAATTAGATAATTATCAATAAATAATTTGGGTTATTAGATTTAACACTATAAATGGAAATATTGAATACAAACCGCGCGTAGCGCGGTTCAATCCCTAGTACTAAATAAAATAGACTATTTGAGGCTCCTCAAGCCATCTACATCAGCTTTTCAAACTACTCTAAAAGGATGCCACATCAGCAATATTAAATTAACTTTCTTTGCTTTGAAATAACATAGAGAGATTACTCTAAATATATATTCACATTATCACAAAATTCAATCCTAAAAAACAAACTTTTAACCGAGAAGTTCTATCGTTTCTTCTCTCCTCCTATTATTAAATAATCAGTCTTCACCAATTTTTCTTCCGCACAACAATCTCATATATCAAATTCGGTTCCTCTTCCCTTCTTATCTACTCAATCTATCTACGAACACAACAGACTCACTCAAAAAACTTACACCAAATGATTCCTATAGAGAAAACCCAGGAAATAATCATTAATCACCATTCACAAGGACAAAACTTTGGTGGAGAATCAAGTTTCCAATGTTGACAGCATCTTTATCCATGAGGAGAAAGACGAAGGATTCAACGGAGGAAAAACCAGACCAAAGCGGGTCAAAAAAGCACGTAACCAGCAAACCAATCCGAAGAGTTAGTAACGGAGTTTCCCGATTTTCATGCGCATAGCAATAGTGTGGTGACGAGATGGGTTGATAAATAGTGTGGCCAGACTAATCCAAAACCATACACTGAATCAGATAAATATTATTGATGATGGCCGTATATACTCTGAATCTCTATCCAATTTAATAACGTGTACGTACAAAACTCATGTTTTAGTCTGTATGTTTGTAGGAAAGTTAGATCTTTAATTATTCTTCTGAAAATAGTGGTGAGTTATTATTTACAGCGGAGGCAAGAGATTTGTTCGTCTGTGAAACTTTGATGTATATCACACAACCCTCTCCTTCATTTTCTCACAGTAAGTTATTTCTATCTGTATATATGTAATATAGTAAACCTGCATTTGGAAAGTCAGTATGTTACTTATAAGTGCTATTACTTGCACCTGCTGCAGACAATGATTGTTTCGCTTTAGACTATTATTTGTGAATTTTCTTTTAAGGGTTAGAGTTGATTCTGCAAAAATTTAAAACCTTCGGCCAAATCCACTTTACTCACAAATATATGTTAGGTATGAGTTTTTTTTTTAAATTATTTTTTTTCGTTTTTGTGTTCACGTGGGTATTGATTAAGATGACATTTTTCATAATTTCCAAATTTAAGCTACGTACTGGAAATTACAAATAGTATAGTGTTTATATAATTGATGTTAGGGAAAAAGATCATTACCAGCGCAAATACAAAATATGCAATTCAATGTGGTGAAGTGACTGTTTTTATAAGACCATTCATAAACTTCTATCTTAAAAGCTTTCATTCTTATCTTTCTTTTTGCTTGGCTGTGTACACAATATTAAAGTAGTGCATGGATCACGCTAATAACTTAACTAATTGGAGTAGTTGAAGTCTAAAAATATAGAAAATTGATGTTAATGGCAAACATCTAAAACTGTTGGAAAAAAATATAGATATGGCAACCCGCAAATGCACTGATTTTATATTTGAAGTTTAATCTTCAGAGAAAAAAAAGCAAAAGTAAATTTCAAAAGAAAACCAGTTTCGTGTTCGAGTAGGCAGCTCAATTGTTCAGATTGCTCAGAGAGTATGGATGATGATAGTTTCTAAATCCTAAACATTTTACACATAAATAAATGATGAACTTCCATAGAGTAAGGATGTTAAAGACCGCAAAGAATAAAAGGTTTCGTGAAATATTATTATAACAACAATCATATTAACAAAGTGAAATTATCGATATGACAAAGTGTTAATTTGAAGGGAATACTTGAGACCGTATAAATGTATGGCACATGGGTAGATTATGATTAAAGAAATTGTAAGGTATGTGAAGATCAACGAACCTCAAATATATAAACAACATTGACAAGGACTGAATTCTGGACACAAGTTCGAAGGTGTTAGTTAGAAAAAGAGAAAGAGTACATTCTTATGTGCATAAAAGAAGAAAAAAAGTAAAAACAATACATGAGTTTGATTATACAGCAAGGTTTCACAAGTAACGTAATATATAAGTTAAGTTTATATTGGAAAGTAAATATGTAAGCTAAATTCTTTTCATTATTTACTGTCTATTAAATTTTATTAGATTGAAAAACGGCTGTGATTGATCATATGGTTGGTAGGCTGCAGATTTTTAATTTTCATTTTGCTAAAGTAAATAGTAAAAAAATGACCGTGACTTTAGAAAAAAAAAATGTTAGTGTTTATATACTTTAGAAAAAATTAATCTAACAACAAAATGTAAAAACAAATTATGTGAGTGTTTTTACGACAACTTTTATAATTTTAAAGATTTATAAATCAGTAAAATTTTGATTGGCTAATATATGACTTTTAAGACTTTTTTAAAAGTTGTTTTGCTGATCAGAACCTAAATATAAAATTGTTTTCTAAAAATAAATTACTAAAAGTTAAAATTGTTTTTCAACTTTATTTTTATTTATTTGGTTTAACAATTTTTAATGGAACAAAGCAATCTACATTTTTGTGAAAAACAAATTTGTTTTTTACAAAATTTATGTTTTTTCCATATAATCAATAATAATTCTCTATAATCAATTATTAATAATTAAATATTTATTTCTAAAATCTAAATAAAAATATATATTTAAAAACAAATCTGCGCGTAGCGCGGAGCATACCCTAATTTTATATTAAGTGCCGAATCTGGTGCTTTGCTTGGAGATAAATATTTTTCCACTAGCATAATAAGTTCTAATTTAATTAGTGTCTACTAGTATAGTAATTTTGCGTTATTAGTACTAAAAAGAATCAAGCAAAGCTGTGTCCAAAGAGGCCAAAAGTGATAGACAGTAACGTCGTCGGTGTGGTACATATGATTCGATTAATAAAAATTATCGTAGTTTCTTGATTTCTGTGGAAAAGGCTTTTTTTTTTACTCAAAAAACTCTTGAGTCGTGAATCTGGTGGAGATAACTTTCTCTATGATTTGATTTGATATTATTTTATTTTATTGCCCCTCAAGCTCCATAACTCCAATTCAGTTCTTGTCCGCTAGTAGTCGTAGTGATATGGAGTATATTTCTGATCCTTCGTTTTTTTTTAAAAAAAAACACTCTTTTCTAGGTAATAATTCAATACGAATCTACGATATAAGAGATAAGAAAAAATCAAGCAAAGCTTTCTCATACACAGCTCAAGGATCTTCCCACATGGGTTCTCTTGACTTGCCTCACGCTTCATCGTTCAAGGTTCTTTCTCTAACTTGATTTATTTGAAGAAAAAAAAACTGAAATTAAGTATTATACGATAATACAAAATTTTATTGTAACAGGGGGGAAGCGAAATATTTCTTAGGAATGTGTTCGAAAATATATTGAAAACGTATCTTAGAAAGAATCCGACCGCGAAGACGATATGGAAACTAGTTCAGTCAGTGGACAACGAGAAGATCTGTTACGACCACTTCACTTTCAGGACATTTAAGGTACGTACGAATTTTACGACTTCAAGATTTAATAAAACTAATTGTGTAAATTTATTTTCTTTTTTTTTTGTCTGTGGTGATATATGTTTATAGGTAGATGGTTACGGAATTGATTCCTTGTCGAGTTTTTTCATGGATTATGGATATAAAATTGGAGGCGGACTTGACTTTCCAAAGAAGAAACTACGAGTTCTCTGGTTTTCTCCTCCTGATGTTCACGTCCCTAATGACGGTCACGGTCTAGCCAACGGCCCTTTGCCACGACTAGTTATAGCCGAGCTTCTTGTGGACGAACTAAGCTTTGAATCACAAGTATACTTTGATCACAAACATGTTGTTATTACTATGAATCTTTTAAGATATCTAATTTTTGCTTCTATGGTTAATTATATAGGAGATAGTAAGGAGGTATTTGATACCAGAAGGTGGTAAGCAAGCGGTTCTTTCAAGTACTTTGGGATCTTTAATATGGGAGAAGCCTACATGGACCGACTTCAAGCAACTTGCAAAGTATACACATATATATATATATAACTCTCTAATCAATAATTATACAGTATATCGTTACTTAATACATTTGATTGTTTTAGAACTAAACTAGTGTGAAATTGCATGTATGATCCCGGTGAAGAGAAAGCGAATTCGCGGCATGGACGCTTATCCACGGCTACACAATGAACCATCTTGCTTTTTCGGTTCATCGGCTCAAACACCGTTTCAGTGACATCAAATGTGTCAAAGAGTATCTTGAAGTAAAGAGATTTAAACTCAACAGTGACGAAGGAATTCTCAAAGGTTCCATTTCCTTTACTCATTCCCCTTATGACATTTTTTTATTGCAATATTTCTATTATCAATTGTTAAATTAAAATTAACGTGGATATATAAG